TAAATGCTGGAGGGATCATCCCAGTCATGAAAACTGTGAAAAGGAAGTGCTAAGGGACATAAATAATTGCCTTTTGCTGTTGATAACTGGGTTGAAGCTCAACTAAAAATAAAATAGGGCCCTCCCTGGTGGCACAGTGGGTTACAGCTCAGCACTGAAGCTGGCTGTAGCCTTTTCAGTGTGAGTTCAATCCCTACCCCCAAGTTGACCCACATGGGCAGCAGACCTCTCCTGTTTCACCTGCTGCTCCCCTTAGCAGTGTTTTTCAGTAGATCTGCCTGTTCTGCTCCCCACTCTTGACTATGGTGAATCCTCTCACTGCCCTTGCATCTCTAGCCTGTACCCCAGTTCTGTATGAATAAATAAATAAATCTTTAGAAATAAATAAATAAAATAAAAACAAAATGATTCTCTGTAACAAATGGCATTTGTTATATTTTTGCCTATTGAAAACTCTAGAAAAAAGGAAACAACATGAGAGGAATTCTCCATACAGAAATGCACTTTTGGAGTTATACAAAGTGGATTTGGTTGCTAATGAGCTTTTGAAAAATCAGATGTCTGACCCATAAAAACTAAGGTTTTATAGCTTAATGTGCCTATTTTTGAGTGAGTCGATTTGTACTCTAAGCCTGACAAAATAATACAGCTTTGCTTGTCAGTAGGGTTTGGAACATGGCTGTCTTGTCTTATGATAGCTTTCCTTATTTTGCTGCAGTTAAAGAGAAGCCACTTGCAGGTTTTTTGTTTTTGTTTTTAAATCTTAATCCTAGTTGCATAACCTAGTTCTAAGCAGAACTCTGGTATTTTCTCATTGGACTGTTTCAACCTCAACACTGGTTCTGCCAAAGTAAAATCAGAGAAAATTGCTCAGTTCAGAAAAGGAAAAACAAAAAAAGAAAAGAAAATTCAGACTAGGACCTCTCTTGTGGGCTAATTTGGCTGAACCATGGGGTTACAAACAAATGCACACAGAATAGGGCTTATTTCTGATGGGACCATCTTAAACTACTGATTGGTTTTATATTTCTGATGTAGAGACTGAGTATACCTAATTTGAGATTCCTGCAAAAGCTGCAAGTTGGGTAAGAGTACAATTATAGGGACTGTGACCGCTCCCCTCACTACTTACAGATCGATTCTGGGCTGAGCTGTCTCACTGCTGTTGATTGTGTTAGGTTTTCCTGATTTGTTGCAATTTGCAGTGGTGGTCTGCTAGCCTGACTCTACATACCTCACCTTTCTCTTGGTATATACACCTTAGTAATTAGTAAGGTAATTTCATTATTAAATGCATCTGTCTTCAGACAGGGATTGCTTTCTCCTGGACTGCTCCCTGGAAGGATGATCAGAAAAAAGAGGTGGGAAATTGTGTATAGTTACTTTTTTTAATTTGAGATTTCAATTTGATTATGATGTGTCATATAATATGATTAGATTACATTGTTTTTCTGCAAAAATGCTTCTCTGCCTCTTACTTTTCCAGATGAAAGCCTTAGTGACAGTGTGAGATGACTAAAAAATATTAGGATTACTGAATAGGAAAACAGCTGATTTTGTAACATCTTACTGTGCTTTAACCTGCTGCACCACTAGGGAGGGCCCGACAATGACTTTTTTTTAATATGTTTCTCTGTAGGCAACATTACCTATTTTGTTATATCTTACTCTTGGGAGAAATAAGCATGTATGAGTCTTCTGGGACAGGACTCTTGAAATTTGTTTGATTCCTTCCAAGCTTTACCCCCTGTGCTTTTTGTTTGTTTGCTGACTTCATTTTGTATCCTTTGACTTTATAATAAATCTTAGTTATTAGTCCAGCTTTGCTGGTGTGAAGTGTTGAACTTGGGCATGGCATTGAGGACCCCAAACTCAACTGGTGTTGGAAGTGTGATTTACTAGTCTAACTCTAACTTGCTAAAACATGGTAAAAGTATAGTTTGAAGAAAGTATGAAGGAAGGAATAAGGGATGACAAATGTTTCACACTTTGATTATCTGTGGTATCATCCAAGGTGTAAAACAGAAATCTTTTAGGAGAGGTAGGAATAACCTGTAGAATTAATTTTTTAAAATTGCTGTAACTTCAGGAGAGTTGGCTTGTTGGATTTCTTGACTATTTTTTTTTTTCTTGTGCTGGCTAAAATAGAACCAGAAACAGTTTCATAGTGGTACCTTTTTTGGGGGAGGAGAAGGGGCTCCAAAACTCCCAAAGGTGAGCTTGGATTGGCCAAAAGTATTGAATGTCTGTATTGTTATTTCTTCCCAGTGGAAGGAAAGATAATAGAACAATCCTGGAACTAGAGCAAAGCAAACCAAAGTGATGAAAGTCAAAAAGAAGTCAGCCATTTCTTCAGAATAGTTGCCATCACTGATCCAGTAGAAGACCTGCCCTACCCCAACCCTGCATTCCAGCTGAAATCTTCCTTGGTAGTTGTAACTTTAGCTCTTTAAAAAAGTACTGGAAGAGAATTTAGTAAATTTCCATTTAAAAGGAGAAGGGTGGGTTTTATTTAAAACAAACAAACAAACAAAAAAAAAAAACAGCTTTGGCCCTCCCTGGTGGCACAGTGGGTTAAAGCACAGCACTAAGAAGCTAAAGCCACTTCCGCATGAGTTCGATCCCCGCCTGCCCCGGAGGTGACCACGTGGCGCAGCAGACCTCTCCTGACCCGCCAGCTGCTCCCCTCAGCAGTGTACTTTGTCGTTCTGCCTGTTCTGCTCCCCACTGTCTCTGGTGAATCCTCTCGCCACCTCTGAGCCTCTGACCTGTACCCCAGTTCTGTATGTACAAATAAATAAATCTTTAAAAAAAAAAAAGCTTTATGTTTTGAGGCTATCCATGGGAAGTAGGATAAAACTTGATGTGAAATGTCTTTTAAGTTTGTAGTTTTTGTTTATAAATGCTGGAGGGATCATCCCAGTCATGAAAACTGTGAAAAGGAAGTGCTAAGGGACATAAATAATTGCCTTTTGCTGTTGATAACTGGGTTGAAGCTCAACTAAAAATAAAATAGGGCCCTCCCTGGTGGCACAGTGGGTTACAGCTCAGCACTGAAGCTGGCTGTAGCCTTTTCAGTGTGAGTTCAATCCCTACCCCCAAGTTGACCCACATGGGCAGCAGACCTCTCCTGTTTCACCTGCTGCTCCCCTTAGCAGTGTTTTTCAGTAGATCTGCCTGTTCTGCTCCCCACTCTTGACTATGGTGAATCCTCTCACTGCCCTTGCATCTCTAGCCTGTACCCCAGTTCTGTATGAATAAATAAATAAATCTTTAGAAATAAATAAATAAAATAAAAACAAAATGATTCTCTGTAACAAATGGCATTTGTTATATTTTTGCCTATTGAAAACTCTAGAAAAAAGGAAACAACATGAGAGGAATTCTCCATACAGAAATGCACTTTTGGAGTTATACAAAGTGGATTTGGTTGCTAATGAGCTTTTGAAAAATCAGATGTCTGACCCATAAAAACTAAGGTTTTATAGCTTAATGTGCCTATTTTTGAGTGAGTCGATTTGTACTCTAAGCCTGACAAAATAATACAGCTTTGCTTGTCAGTAGGGTTTGGAACATGGCTGTCTTGTCTTATGATAGCTTTCCTTATTTTGCTGCAGTTAAAGAGAAGCCACTTGCAGGTTTTTTGTTTTTGTTTTTAAATCTTAATCCTAGTTGCATAACCTAGTTCTAAGCAGAACTCTGGTATTTTCTCATTGGACTGTTTCAACCTCAACACTGGTTCTGCCAAAGTAAAATCAGAGAAAATTGCT